TTTTTTTTTAAATAGAAATTTTCTAAGTTTTGGGACAATATAGTCTGATAAAGAGTACATTTATATAAATGTTTAAGCCAGAATGATTTGACATTTAAATATGATTTCCCTTCGACTTTAATAAAAAGAAAGCAAAGGTTAGGAATATGTGCTTTGAAGCATGACTGGAGAAAATCTTGTAATCCTGTTTAATGTATTCAAAACAAGTTCTTCAGTAATTAGCCTTTCATATAATTTAGGTTTAAGAAAAACCAAAACACTGGCATGCAGCAGAACCAGGAGATCTGATGGACATTTAGTCAAACATAATGTCTCACAAACAACAGTTTGTTGTTTTTTTTACTTGTAATGTAGCAGAATGCTATAAAGATATAGAATAACAGTTAAAACAGTGGTTTACATTATTTTATAATTAGAAACTTCAAACCGTCCTTACTTCTGAAGACGGATGAGATAGGTCTTATTGTCGATGTCATACACGTTATTCACTCTCATGCCAATGTAGCTGCGGAGAGATACATGAATTAGTGACCAACCAGTGTGAACCAATCCACATTAGCCGTGTTAGCAGCTGGCTAAGTTAGCGTTAGCTCCGGCTAACAGCCGTTACCTACTTGGCATTGATCTCTGCTATGGCCGCCCTGATGTCCACAGTGGTGAATCTGGTTTTCATTGTGACTTACGTCCAGAAAAAAGCTCTGTTTGTACTGTAATGATGGACAACGTCACATAACTGAAGCAGAAACAAGAAAATCATGAGGGGAAGTTCTGCGCATGCGCAGTTAAGGAGGCGGAGGCGCCACGAGCCGCCGCATACTACGTCAAAGTCGCGGCCATATTGCGAGGGGAGTTTTTGCTGAGCCGTCCGCCAACAAAAAAAAAAAGAAAAGAAAAAAGAGTGTAAAAAATTACTACGAATAACTGAATTACTACGAGAGATGATTAGGGCCACTGGAAAAAAAAGTTAACAGATTTTTAAATTTAATTTCAGTTTAATATGGGAATGACTTTTTTTTCTCAGAATTCTGACTTTTTTCTCAGAATTCTGGGTTGTTGTTTTTTTCAGAATTCTCACTTTAATCTCAGAATTCTGACTCTTTTCCCATATTAAACTGATATTAAATTTAAAAATCAGTTAACTTTTTTAATTGTTTTTAGTGACTCTAATCCTCTTCCGTAGAATTTCTGATGTCTAGCTCCAGAAATCTTTTATTACACGGTAATTACTAAATGGCAGAATGGTGCTGGTTTCTGAGGTATTTCCTCCCCCTCTTTTCCCCAGATCCTCTGGTTCATTCTGCTGGGATGGTAGAACTTCTCCAGGTCTGGAGGTTTTTAACCCAGTTTAGGTTCATCTAAAGAGGCCTTCCATGAGTTGTGTAGGGAGGAGTAACTTCTTTCTGGCCTTATTCATAAGATTCATGTCACTGATGGTTGTAAATGTCATGTAAATGTATTGTCCCACAATGGAGAAATTCCCTCTCTGCATTTAACCCATCTCCTTGGGGAGCAGTGGGCTGGTATTGTACATTGCCCAGGCAACAGCGTGGGGTTAAGGGTCTCACTCAGTCTGTGGTAATGTTTGCACTGCTAAAACGATCTAGAAATAAGAAACATTTCTTAAATTAAGTGTATTTACCGTCGATATAAGCAGGTAAATAAGATGATTTCCCAATGGAATGAGTATATTTCCTCCTAAAATAAGATAATTGGATAATATGCACTTGAAATAAGACAATGGAATAGTCTAATTTTAAATTGTCTTGTTCCATTGGCAAAGTGTCTTACTGACCTCCCCCATTCAAGAAATAATGCACTTATTCTTAGAAAAAATAACCTTATTTAGATTTTTTATTTTTATTTTTTTTGCAGTGTGGGACTTGAATTTAGACCCTCTGGGACCCAAGCGCAATTATCTAACCACCAGACCACCGCTCCCCTCATTGTGACCCAAAGCTCAGCCGTCCTTCTAAGGCTCTTCCTCTCTGGTAACCTGGTTAAGTTGGGTGGAGCTGTATAGGAAATGTAAAGTAAAGCATAACTATTTCATGCACTTGACATTAGATAGTGGAGTCACTTTGTTTTCTTATCTCAAACACAAATGATCTCATTCATTCGAAAATGGTTTAACTTTTCTACTCAAAACAAGAGAAAATACTCTTTATTCAAGAACATTTGACTTAGTGGAACACGAATCAACTAAAATCAGCTCAGAATGTCTATATTAATCCAAATCAACATTTGGTACTTTTTCTGTCTAAACTCTGGTTTTCTTAAGGTGTGTTAGGTTGGAGCGCAAAAAGAAGATCATGAAAAACTGGGAAACTTTTATTAAATGTGATAAGAAAAGAAAAACAACTGGAAGCAGGACTCAAAACGTCCACCAAACTACCCCCGCCAAGCCTGTGGTGTCTGCAATAAGAGGTGCTTTAAGGCTCAGATCAGGACGACATGGCAGTTTGGGTCAGAGTTCAGTAGTGTAACAGCCCACCAACACAATAAATACAGTGTTTTTGATCACTTGCAGAATCACGCTGAAATCCTGGGATGCTGATGCGGGATCATTTCCGTGCCTTTACAGAGTATTGCTCTTTGATCGCTGGCTTATGTCTCTCCATCATTACATCTGAAGCTTGTACAGAATGTTAAGTGTTCTTCTATAATCATCTAAAATGCGCTAACTTCAAGTACTACTTTTGGTCATTTGTATTGAGACCACTGACAGACTGGTTTAAATCAAATTCTGATCCGTGTTGGAAACCTACATAAAAGGACCTAGCATCCCCACACAGACTAGAGGACCGGATTTACTCCGCTCTCCCCTTGAAACGGGCTAAGCTGCGACTTGGCCCTATAATGAGTTTCCTCTTGTCAACATGGGATAATGGTTGAGAAGGAGTCTAGGAATTTATGCAAATGGCACACACATAGTCCACTCTTTAATAACTATTCCCTACTCAGAGGGGGAGTCCCATTTTCGTCTCCGGAGTGGAGCTCTAGGGGCATCCATGTTTTAGCTGATGTATNAATCATCTAAAATGCGCTAACTTCAAGTACTACTTTTGGTCATTTGTATTGAGACCACTGACAGACTGGTTTAAATCAAATTCTGATCCGTGTTGGAAACCTACATAAAAGGACCTAGCATCCCCACACAGACTAGAGGACCGGATTTACTCCGCTCTCCCCTTGAAACGGGCTAAGCTGCGACTTGGCCCTATAATGAGTTTCCTCTTGTCAACATGGGATAATGGTTGAGAAGGAGTCTAGGAATTTATGCAAATGGCACACACATAGTCCACTCTTTAATAACTATTCCCTACTCAGAGGGGGGGGTCCCATTTTCGTCTCCGGAGTGGAGCTCTAGGGGCATCCATGTTTTAGCTGATGTATTCATGATTTGAGACTGTCTCATCAACTACCTGGAACATCTTTATTTCTGTACTTTCAACTAAGGTCATCTATGAAAGCATATGGAGTGCCATGGAATTTTCCTCTTACTGCTCACCCTTTGCATTCCTTCCTATATAACAGAGGACAAAAAAGGAGTTTGGTTTTCCGAATATATTTATTTATCTGAGATGCCTCTTATAAAACCCTTCCTATAGAACGTGTGTGGTCCAGTGAAATAAAGCACTACATTGGAGGTGATTTATTCAACAGGGAAATTATTTGGTCTTCAGTTGTCTTGGCCTCAAAAAGCCTAACCCTAACCATCAACAGATACATTCAACTATATACAATCTCAGTACACAATACATTTGAATATTTGAATACAAATTTTGGATTTTTTTTACACATTTGCAAACCAAATTACAGACATTAGTTTTACACATTGGCAGATTGTTTTACAGACACACAAATCTCCTCAAACATTTACAGTTTCATTTACACATTTTCAAATCCCACTGCACACACACAAATCGAGATACAGATACACAACTCTCCACACACATTTGCAAATAATAAAGCTACAATTTTGGCCCCATAGAAACAGTGCGTCATCTAGCTTTCGTATACAGTGGATTAGTGCCCCCCTAATCCATGGGAGTGCAGAAGTGTCGCTAGTCGGGGTTAGTTTCATGATTAAAAGGCCAGATTGGTCACATAAGAACAAAACTTCATCGTTTCTGTACATTTCCAACTATGAGGTACTATTTTTCTGAAAAGTAATAATTGAAACCCTGTCTTATTCAAACCATACTGCCAACATAAATTTTTTTTTCTTCTTTATTTTCTATTCATAAACACAACTTACCAATCCAGTTATAGGCGCACCCTTTCTTGATGCAAGGGAAGGCTTTACTTATCCTGGAATTAAGATTACTCCCCACATAAATACAGCTATTAAAGCAAATTATGACCAGTTGATGAAAGAGGTACAAGACCAAATTGAAAAATGGACAACAATGTCAGTATCAATGATTGGCCGGATAGACATTATTAAAATGAATATTGTACCAAAATTCTTATATTTGTTTTAATAACTCCCATTGCCACTGCCAAAATCATTTTCTAAAGAGATTAATAGATTTATTTCTAACAATAGAAAACCCAGATTGAGACTTAGATTATTGTATTTGCCTTATGATAGGGGTGGAATACTGATGCCCAATTTACATCGGTATTACTGGGCTGTTCAGCTACGTATGCTATGTTTTATTTGGTGTGGGCTGACAGGAGTGAAAATTGGAGACTTTTATGCTCAGGGCACTTTATTAACATTTAACAACCTTTTTTCCAAAGAAAAACATTTTTTTAAATACTTACAACTGAAGCACTTTATCTCATCAAACTAGCCCCAGGCTACCCATTAGCCACCGCTGTCCTGCATGAAAGGCATTGTGTTGAAACACATAAATGCGAAACAACAAATCTCTACACTATATACAGCACTTGTCTCGCATGATAGACGGAGAGCATTGAGCTTAGATATTAAGGAAGATATTGGTGAAGCTGACTGGATGTCGGCTTGTTTAAAAGCTCAATTACAAACCAATAATACTCGAATGAAATAGCTGCAGCACAAGTGGTTATTGAGGACGTACATAACCCCTGAGAAACTCAACAAACTGTCACCTGACATTCCAGATACAGGTTTTAACGATAAACTGCATCACTGAGCAGCCCAAACTCATTAATCCCTGTGGACTAAATATGTATTTCGCATGTAAAATCAGACATGCGATTTTACATGCGAAATACAATCTAAATGTCTCATTCCCACTAGTATGAGATAAAGCATGTTATGTGGTTTAGCACCACACATTCTAACAACTTTGTTAAAGATATTTTCGGCCATCTTCTTAAAGGAATAGTACACCCAAAACATGATTAGCCTTCATTTTCTACTCACCCCCATGCTGAACAACACTCTGGAGTACTTTTTTGATANATTTACAATAATTAATATGAAATGTAAATAACTATATATACATATATCAATATCAATGAAATATATCAATAAACTGTCTGCATCATCATGGATACATTTACACAGACCAACACAATAACTGGTTAGTTCGAAGAGCAGACGTGCTTTTAACCATTTCTTTTGTTTTATACGTTCAAGGTGTAGAAATGTGTCCCACTGTTCCTTGGAGATTTGGTTCAATATATACGGTATGTCATTTGCCAATATTCCTTCTGGCTGAAAAACAATGCGATCTGAATTTCTGCTGGTCTTATCTCTATCTGTGAAATTCATGTATTCATGTCTTACCTGCCGACTTCACCGTTAAGAGGCAAAGTTAAACTGATCTGCGCG